ACAGTTCAGATGACAGCAGTCGTGAAAAAAGACAATGGGGAGGGTACAATATGGCGGGACATCCTTGGGGTTATGATGGCATGTCGTCTAGATTCTGGAATAGTCGTGGGTGGAATTCATATCCGTGGAGCTGGCAGTACAGTCCCGGTAGGTATCGATTTATGAGAGAGGCTGAATCGGCAGCCAGTGAAGAAGAAGGCCAAGACGATTCTGCGAGGTCTAAACGATTCGCAAACTGGTTTGGTGGCTCTTTCTCGAACTTTCCATACTACGGAAGATATATGAATGGTTGGATGCCATACTGGTGGTCTCCCTACAGTTGGTCTTTCTCGTTTAATTGGCCCTGGGGAAGGTATCCAAGGGAAACTGGCGAAAATTCACAAGAGGCGGCTGGCCGAGAGAAGAGAGATACCGGTGACGTCTTGGATAGAAGTAAACGATTCTACAACATGAACCACTGGCCAATGGGATACGAGTATCCGTCGTTTTCTAGAAATATGTGGCACGGAGACTGGAACTCTTACCGCTGGAATTCCATGTTTAATAATTACTCTCCTCGATGGTGGTGGTGGTGGCGGTACAACAGCATGAACAGAGGTCGCTATTATCGCCATGCCGAAAAACTCGAAGAGGAAAAAAACGCTGAAGATAAAAGATACAAACGGGAAGTAGAGAACACCAGCCCAGCAAAGCGACAGGCTTGGAATTATGGGGATCCCTACATGAGCCAGCGTTATTCATACGACAGAAACTTCCCAGGAATGCAAAGTCCTCACTTTGGACAACAGTTCTGGTACGGACAATTTGGGAGACCTTGGAATGGGATGTCAAGATGGCGGAGATTTGACGGTGACTCATCGAAAGAATCGGAAGATTATATCAGCACCATAACGGAGAAACGAGAAAAGAGAAATGCTGTGAATGCCCCCTCGAAAGAAAAGCGATTCGGAGGGATGAATTACTTTCCCCGAACCCAACCCTTTCAATCAATGTACGGCAACAGTATGAGGTATGGATATTCTAATTCCTTTCCGTGGCGTGGTGGCTACTACAACAGTTTTGATCCGTCCTTGGATTATAACTGGGGCCAGGGTCGGTTCAACAGGCAAACATCAGATCTTGACGATAAACCTGAGAGTGGCGAGATACGAAACAAAAGGGAAGCACAGGGTGTTGCCAGAGACGACAACTTGCTTAAGGATTCCAAACGGAGTAATACGGCCAATAATTGGCTCGGACGTCCGAAAATGGGAAATAATTTCAGTACTTTGCGCGGAAATCCTAAGGTGAACACTGGCAACAGCTGGTCTGGAAATCCCAATATGGGGAACAATGCAAATAGTTGGCGGTATCCTAGGAACTGGAGAAGTTGGAATCAGCGATACTCTTTTTTCCGAGACAATGACTGGCAATGGGAGTACCGGTGGCCACAAAATATGCAAAACTACCCTATAGGGTACAACAATTTTGAGAGAGGTTACAACTTTCCCAACAGAAGGAGCGGCCCATCCAGCTTTGGTTTCCCCCGATCCTCAATAGGATGGCGATTTAATAGAGAGACCGATAAAGGGGAAGAAGAAGATGCAGAAGAAGTTGTTGCTGAAAGAACCAAAAGAGAAGCAAAAGCAACCCCCTCCGCCAAACGTGGAGTTTGGCAAAATCGTCTTCCTTACTCGCAAAACCAGTTTAGCTATCCCTTCTTCTCTGGATACAACAACGGTTTCTGGAGTCAGCCTTACTGGTACTGGTACCCTATGGGCAACAGCTGGCGAGGGATGTACGGGTGGCCGGGAGGGAATATGTGGCCCTGGAATAGATTCCGAAGAGAATCATCCGACTCAGCAGAGAACGGAGTAGCGGGCAGGAAAAAACGAAGTGTTAGAAATGCCGGGAGCGAATTCAGGAATAAATACGGAAACATGGACTACTTTAATGGTCTACCATCAAGCTACAGATCGGGTCACAACAACAATAACAACAACAACTGGCAGGCAGATAGCTCAAGCATGTACCCCACGCGAGATATGTTCGATTTCCAGTACATGCCTCGTTCCAACATGAATGGAGGTCGGTTCTACAGAGAAACGGACGAAAAGTCCGATGAAATCACATCTGAGAGACAGAAAAGAGACACATCCACAAAAGTGAAGAGGCAGTCACCTTGGTTCGGATTCCCAGGAATGACAAATAATATGTGGGGGAACTCGTTTTCTCCCTTTAGATATTCGGGATATATGTGGCCCTATTCTAGATACTACTGGTACTGGAGCTACATGTACCCTCGGGGTAACAACTGGGGCTGGGGTAGATGGCCAAGAGAGGCTACAGCCGCGTCAGGAATAGGTTCTGGGGACAGGGAGAAGCGGGAGACAGACGAAGGAGACTCAGATAGGGAGAAGAGGTTCGGAAACTGGAACAATATGCCTTGGTCGATGTTTGGCAATTCGCGGTCGTCTTACGGGAACCAATGGCCTTACCAGTGGAATAATTACGGCTCTAACTATATGAATGGCTATACAAATCCTGCATACATGGGCTCCTATCGATATTACAGACAAGCTCCGGATAACGCGGATTCTGAAAGCGAACTAGAAAAAGGGGTTGATTCAGAAGCAGGGAGAGAAAAAAGGTGGGCGCCGTCTGGAATGTGGTATGGCAGGGGATATGATTCTTCTACAAGGGGTTGGCAAAATCCTTGGTATAACTGGAACGGTATGATGATGGGTAGAGGGGGGATGCCTGGTCAAGGGCGATCGTGGTGGTCAAATCCCCGATTCTGGTATAAAAGGGAAGCAAAAAAACAGCCCTCTGGGATCACAGAAGGGGATGCTATGAAAGAAAATAATGAAGACATTTCACAGTAAGACGGAACGCGTTGACTTGTGAGAAATACTAGGGATTCTTATGTCTTAAACACTTTTCATTAGCCGAACTATGAGCCTACTCGTGCGTTAAAACTAAGCTATTTGAACGGCAAACTGTAAAGTAAAGGACCATTTTAAAGCTTTCTGAATTGTAACGGACCATCTACTATGTTGTAATGTTAGCGGTATTGTTTGGGTTTTTTTGCATTTTGGTATATTTTCAAATTGACTCTATTACAACAGTGCGATTGGTAGCAATTTACACGAAAAGGGAAACGACACCTTTCTTAAATTTGCACTTTGAAGTGATTACAGAAAGTTTACAAGTAATAACTTTCTGATGTAGGCTTGTGAGACGCAGTGTCACTTCTTTTGTAACAATAATTCCGGATAAAGCAGAGGAATGTTGTAAATTGTTGACTAACAACACGCATACACATGTTTCGCTTTGCTAACAAATTATGCTGCAGAACAAGACACAGCTCAGACTACTGCAATGTACAATACAACATTGTAAGAGGACATGAATCTTCATTCGCCTTCTCATTACTGTCCCTTATTAACTTTGAATTCATGATTGAACAATAAAAGACATTTTCAATTCTAAGCACGCTGACTAAATCTCTTTATTCTATGTCATCTTTCACCTTTGAGTTTGGGACTTTACACTTCCTTGTTACTCACTTGTAGACAGTGCATTAGATCTAATTATTTCTGATATAATTTTGTTTTGATTAAAAGCCTCTCCTAGCTTGCCCAACAATAATTAAGTTTGATAGCAAATAAAAGGTCTTCAGTATATTGCCCGCTGTGAGAACTAATAGAATAAGGCATTTAAAAAATATTTTTTTGTCCACAGAAGCTTGTAAAGAGTCAGGCATCGTAGTCTGGCCTTGAAAGTTTTACTTATATTTTTACTGATAATGTGGAACAAAACATAAAAACTACAACAAAAACAATAAATATGGGGTTGTCATTTACTATGAAGAAGTGAGCTGCATGCATAAATGCTCCCTCCCTCCTTGTGAGGTACACAGGGTTAAACCTATTTCAAGCACAGCGAAACTATGAAATAGAATTCTAGGGTTTTTTTTGGCTCTTACAGCAAAGGCTATTTACAAGAATGGCAATTTGAAGGAACATTTTTCTCTCACAGGGTCAAACCACCAGCGACTGTGGTGTAGTGGTTAGGCCCTTTGCTGCAGCACGCAAGAGACTTGAGTTTGATTCCAGAGCAGAGAGAAATTTTTATCGAGTATATCACCGGTAACTGCCAAGGTAAGGTCAGGATTCAATCAATTATCAAAAGTCTGGAAAGCAAGCAACATCTCACTGCGCACCAAGATTCGACTCTTTAACTCCAACGTCAAGTCTATGCTATTCTACGGCTGTGAAACTTGGAAGACAACAAAGACAGTACTGAATAAAGTCCAGACTTTCATCAACAGATGTATGACGAGTATTCAAAGAATTAAGTGGCAGGATAGAATAGGAAATGAAGAGCTGTGGGAAAGGACAGGACAAAGGATAAAGAAGTAGAAATAGGACTAAGAAAGTGGCGATGGATGTGACACACCTTAATTAAGAAAGCCCAGCGGAAACATCACAAGACAGTCAATGCAGTAGAACCCACAGGGAGCAAGAGGCAGGGGTACGCCACAGGAAACATGGAAGAGAAGTGTGGAAAGGGACATGAGAGAGATGAAGTTCATTTGGAACGAGCTAGGAAGGATGGCCCAAGACAGATATAAATGGAAGAAGCTTGTATTTGGCCAATACCCTGCCAGGGGTGAAAGGCATTGATGATATATGATATCACCAGTGTCTCTGCAGGGATGTTGTATTCTCCTCTGAGTCCGGGTTGGCCCTGATATACAGAGCTGGAAGCCTACCTCCTTAATGATCTAAATTGGTTGATGGGGGCATAAGAAACATCTAAATTTGTTTCTTTATTAAGGGCCAAGTAAAAAGTTTGGAGTGTCATACAAATCCATAGATATACTTAGCCCAAGAAGCGCCTTTGGAAATCTGAAACAGAATCCCTCATATCACATTTCAGCACAACACTATCAACAAAGATAACAGCATGTCCCATTCACATATAAACACATAAAGCAAAGACAAAAACAAGGAGAGACCTCATGAAAAAAGTACGTCTTTATTCTTCAACTGTATGAGTAAATGTTGCATTAAAATCTTGCCCAAACAAATTCTCCTTCCTCTTTTGTCTTTACAAAAACACCCTTTGTCTTTAACTGACCTCCTGGTAGATGCTCAAAACAACGCTTTGTGAAACAAAAGCCACTCTGTAATGTATACATTGTTTCTAAACCATTTCTATATAGACCACAACATTGTACGCTAAAACACAAAATTACAGGCTATAAAACAACTTTAAAATATTTTGGTATGTACCAATTGGACGGAATACTATGATTAAAAAAAAAAGATAAAAATGTGAAACTCACTGTGAAGCTTCCTGAAAATGTGAATTCTTTAGTAAAACTGCATGAAAGCAGGTGAAAGATAGAGTTAGTTTAATACATGTATTTAATTATTGTTTAAAAAACGGAACAAAGGCATCTGTTTAATGCCTCTTTGAATGCAGTAAAGTTACTTAAGACACAGGACATCTGATTCATGTTCCATCTCTGATAGCACTGAGCCAGAAGAAGAAATAACTCTAGAATGGCTCCCTGGGGATTTGAGGATGAGAATGAAAAAAGGTGGTTGAAAAAAGAAACCTAACTGTGTTGCATTTTACAGCAACTACAAACACCATCAAGCTTGACACTATCATTTTTAGAGTGAACTGCATGGATTGATGGAAGCACAAGGGATCTTTACTGCAGTCAAAATACTAAAGTATCACAACAGCCTACAATAGTGGCATAGTGCAAACCATAACAAATCAACCAACTATTCAGGGAGAAACTCGAGTAACGACATGCCATAAATGCTTGGCACAAACAAAGATTAACACAGTCCTATGCTTTTGAAAAGTATTGAGGCAACTGTGTTCATTAAACAACAAGGCAGTGGCACACACAGCTTGAATAGGTTTCTGACAAAAGAAAGAAAACATTAAACATTAAAAAAAAATTAACCCTGTGTGCCTCGTACAGAAAACTTTATCCCCTAAATTGCTAAAATTAAGAGTAAACAGTTTTGTTTTCCACAGCATAGCATACAAATGAAAGGAAATGAGAACATACAGAGTGAGAGAAACTAAACAATGATATATATGTGACCATTTGAATGGGCCTTTTAAAAACAAAAAATTAGTTAGGACCATCAACCTTCAATCTTCCCATCTTAGAAATGAAATAAACTTTTACAGTACAAAAGTTTCATGGGGTTGCTCAAGCATTCTCCAAGCAGATGCTAAACTCAGAAAGGAGCTAGACACGCGGAGGGCTGGGAAGAGAGACAGATAAGTTGTTGTTTTCCACTGCCGCAGTCTGAAAGCAGCAATGTCAGCCCCAAACAGTAACTCAGACACGTAATCATCAACCCACGTTTGCCCCAAGTTACTTCTTCTTCCCCTTTCCTCCCTTCTTCTTGTTCTTGGACTTGAGAGCTTTCCGCACTTTGTAAGAGCGCCAGAAGGCCTGGATGGTGGTGGCCGACTTGACCAGTAGGGCCAGCTCTCTCTGGGCACGCTCCCGCTTGTCGCGAGCTACCCGCCTCTCCTCCATGATGGCGGTGTACTCCTTCTCCAGCGTGGCAAATCTTTCCTCCAGCTCAAACAGCTGCTTCTTCTCCTCTGTGTACACCAGGTCAATCTCCTCGTACTCATCCTGGAGAAACACAGAAAAAAATGGTGTGTGAGTGAGTCTTTTAAAAAATCTACATTTCTTTTTGAGCGCGCAGTACTGTTACCAGGCTCACTGTGTGGCAATTTTTTTCGAGGAAGTTTTTTTATACACATTATATCATGTTCTACGTATACACATGTCAAGTAATTTTAAAATGTGACATATCTCTTTAAAAGTAATGTGCATTAAGCATTTACTGTTATGATTATGAGAAAGAAAGTTTAAGTATAGTTTTAGTAAGAGTTTTGTGGCACTTGCAACACAAATAGGTCATATGAGTGCTGAAGATTCGAAGTGTTACTACAGTGTTACATCAAAGAGAAAAAAGAAAAAAGAGCAACTGCAATAAAAATGATAGATGTTTGAAAGGAAAGCAGGAGCACACCACACCAGAGTTCCCAACATCCACCCACCCAGAAAGAAAGATGATATATAGGAACACACTCTTATGAAAATAGCAGGTGACGTAAGGTAAGGAGAAGTGCTGATATTAGAAAAAGGTAAGCTTAGAAAATACAGGTCACATATGAAGGGATCAGATGCAAAGATAAGACAACATAAGATGAGACCAGATAAGATAAGATATATAAAATGAGACCAAAATAAAATGAGATAAACATATGAAATACATCAAATGAGACCATGTTATGACAACAAAAGACAAGAAATTGTATTATCAGATTGGATACAAAGACATGAAACAGAAAAAAGTGAACGAACCATGAAATGCAACAAAATAAGAGGAGAAAATATGAGATAAAACCAGCAGAGATGAGATTTAATAATAACAAAATGTTTAGAAGAAAAAGATCATATCGATAGAGCGATAATTATTTGAGTTGAGGTAGTAAACAGAAAAAACAAAAAACAACTGTTTCAAAAATAAGTTTAAAACATACTTTAAAAATTGAGCATCTCTTCCCATCTTTACAATTCCTGCCCCCCTTTCCTGAATCATATGTGTTTTTAGCAGCATGCTCAGGACTCAATCTTCAAAATAGTTTAAACATTTAATTGAACTCTATTGTGCAAATGAAACATGTCTTCATAGATTTCATGACATCTTGCTAATATATCCGACTCTTGCTAGGCTTTAACTTTAAAGTGACAAATCTTTCAGGTGTGTTTCCAAGTTTGTTCGTTTTTTTCCCCACAATGTGGCATGGCTGCCAGTCGGACCAGCTGGCCTGTAAGCTGGCAAAATGCCTTTTAAAAATTTATAGCAGTTTCAAGAAAAAGAGTTTTTTTGCCAGCGGAACCATTGAAAAATAGAGTGCTCCCGAAATTCGAATTCTACTTTCTTCAAAAACTTAATCACAGTTTCACTTTGATTTTTTTCACACTAGTAGGCTTTCAATTTAGCAAATATTTGTCAGCCTACAGCAGAGCTGACCTCATGGGCCAAGTCTTGTCTGCGAGTTGTAGTTTGATGACCCTTGATCTATAAAGTGCAAAATTATAATTTGCTAAGCCATTTAAGGTCTCATAGTTTAACAGGTAATTATACTAACCTGTCGCTCTCCCATATCCTGGTCATATTTCTGAATCCAGTTGTCCACCTCATTTTCAACCTTGTACTTTTTCTGAAAATGAAAATTTAAAAAATCACTTTATAGACATAATGCAGGCTGTATGATATAAACCATTATAACCCCTCCACCCCAAAATACACACACACATACACACACACACACACACACTCACACACACACACACATCCCCCACAATCTTTGATTTCAGTTCAAGGCAAAAATAAATCTAAACAAAAATGATGTTATGATATCTGATAACAACAAAAACAACAACAACAACAATAAACAGATGCAGTTATGAAAAATTAATAGCCTAAAATTGAAACCTCAAACAGCACAATATCCGTCCACTACCTACAGTGAAAACACAGTCAAACTTATTCAAATAATAACATACAGGGGGATAAAAAAACAACAACTGTACAACTTCTTTTGTTAATATTTTCTTCTTCATTGAAGTTTTGCATTTCAAATTTGTACACAACATTTGGAAGTCAAAAGGAATTTGTGTGATATTCATTTTAGATAAATTCAACAGAATAGTTTTGATCTACATAGCGCGTAAAAGAACAACTCATTTTCAGCTACGTCGCTATTTTTGTCGCATGATGCACTAGTTCGCATTAGGTCTACCACTAAAAATCCCCAAAATTGCACCATATTGCAAACTACAGTAGTCACTAGTTCGCATTAGGTCTACGACTAAAGATCCCAACGATTGCACCATATTGAAAACTACAGTAGTCTAACAGGCCAACAGAAGTTTACAGATAGTTTTTCTCAAGTTTCCTTTGCCTGTTGAGATCATGGTTAAGATTAGTAAAGGGAAGAAAGCTTTTTGTATAGAACATTTCCTCACCACCAACTCATTTCATAAGTTTTGCACAAGGTACGGAAATAATGTTAAAGTGCCCTTAAGGCCTTCTTTGATATCAACGTTGGGAATGGTCCATCCGTTAGGACCTGTAGAGAATCAGAACTAAAAATTCCCAGACAAAACGACCACTTCAGATCAATCACACACTGTTCGCAGCCCTTTAAACGTCACCAGGGCGCAGAATTTAGTAGATGAGCCCCATGAGACGTCTGCCCACACATCTTCACAGACTCCCAGTCAGTTGTTCAACACTTAATGTCTGGAGTGACTGCAGTTCATACTGAGATAGAGGACAAAATGTGGACCACAAAATGTGGACCACCATCTGCCACTGCTGTGAAATCCACAGACACCTTCACATACAATGGATACCAGGACACTGTGACATCCACGGGAACGACCGAGCTGACGCCCTGGCCAACAAGAGAGGCTGCCTTGACCAGTCCAACACTCCAGTCGATCTCGCGTCAGCAAGCTCGTGCATCTCGTGTTACATCATTGTCCACACATAGGAGAAAGCGCGAGTGCACGACTCCGTCGGGGGAAAGGTGAAGCCACCACCGGAGAGGGACAAAGAGAGAGACCTTACCGTGCACAGAGAAGAGTGTTACCGCAGCTAAGATGCAACGCAAAGAGCCCCATCCTGCAGCGTATCTCCATGCAATAGGCTCCGCTCCCAATGATTCCTGTCGGGCATGAGGCACAAGTCCTGATGACCTGCAGCACGCACTGTATGAGTGCCCGCAGGGGGAAGCACATCGAGGCCCACTTATGGAGAACAACGTGAGACCGGGCCCAGATGTACTCTGGACGAGGCCACAAGAGGTTGCCTCTTACCTGTCTGCCTGCAGCAAACTGCCGCCCTCCTAACGGAGGCCAGCCAGAGGAAGGAAGGAAGGAAGGCGTCAGTCCGTAGACGATGTCTGCAGCAATGACTTTCCTGCATCTCAACGGTCCGCATTATCAAGGCAGATCTTCATACACTACAGTACCATTTTCCCGTTCGTGAAGCTATCAGAGGACAGCAATGTGTTCATGATTCCTCGATTGTCTTGAAAAGCGTGAACATTCCTTCTATGACATTTGGTTCCTTGTCAAAGCCCATATTCACCTTTCACATTATATCAACTCCAAAAATGCTGTCGATTTGGGCAACCTCACCCGGCCCCCACCTCCCTATTGTCTCTAGAAACAGCTCCATACTGTAAGGTGGGCAGTGTGTGTAGCTTTAAGTACTCATGGATCATTGTGTTTGGCCACCACTGAACATTACAAATGACGCGTTAAACTGTGTCGAGTCCAAAGGAGGACATATAGACCATTGGTTCTCGGAATTCCAGAATTAAAAAAAAAAAATTTTTAACTCTGTAGGAGAACAGCAATATTGTTTTAACGTTACAGGGATGGAAAGATTAGATTTTGAAAATAAAAGGAAACGAAAAAACAAAAACTAATCATTTCACGACTTTTCTTACTACATTTTAAAAATTGGTGCTTTTTTCATTTACAGGTGGTTTTTATAAAAATCATTTCCTTTTTTGAAAATAAGTTTCTTCTTTGTGAATTTTAAGTCAAACAAATTAATTTTGAATGAATTATATCTGTTCCAAATTACAACATTCTAGTACAAATTTTGTGAGAGATATTTAGAAAAAAAGTTGACAGTTTCTTTTTGGATCACCCTGTACTTATATGAAAAAAGTAACATAAATTAGAACAGTTTCATGGGATGAAGAAAGGGTCTAGAACATACTCGACATAACCAATTATTAATTGAAAAATTTACGAGAGGGACAGGTATAAATCATCAGCTTATAAACAATTATTATAATTCCTTCAGGACCATTGGTTATTGGTAAAGATATAAGCATATTTTTGCAAGAGAGTCTGGAACTGTGCTCAACACCTAAAGCAGCAAAGGGTAGTGTGTATAATAATATGTGTGTGTGTGTGTGTGTGTGTGTGTGTGTGTGTGTGTGTGTGTGTGTGTGTGTGGTGTGTGAGAGAGAGAGAGAGAGAGAGAGAGAGAGAGAGAGATTTAGTAGAAAGAGTATAAACAAGCTGGATTTGTATGACAAATTAGAACTTATGACAGAGCTTCATCCTCTTTCTTTTTTAGCTCTGGGCATCGACATTGTGCAAGAGCTTCAGAGTCCTTAGATCCTTCTCATCATTATAATTTGTTCACTACACACAAAAAAATAAAAAACATAAATCCTTTTAAGTTCCCACATTTGACTCCCTCCTCCATCAACTTTGCAACTTACAGCACGAAGCTCAGCCTCCTTCTCCCTATGTTCTGTCACTGCATTGTTCAGCTGAGTCTGCAGCTGGTTGATCTCAGCCTGAAGTTTCTGGGTCTTTTGGTCACTGTTCTTCGAGTCTGCAATTTCTTGTTTCTCCGCTTCAGCTCGTGTGCGCCGAATGTTCTCATCTGAGAATTTCTCAATCTGGTGTAGATCTGTCTGAAGTCTTTTAATGATTTCGTTTTTCTTACGAATCTGTAAAAAACAACAAATTATCTTGGTTACGAGAGCTTTTCTTCAATCAAACATATTTGTGAGTGTGAATGTGAAATTCCATTTAATAAAGCTGAGAAGTAGTTGAAAAAGGTATGTTTGTTTGATTTAGAAAACAGAAAAGGATTACAACCACTACGGATTCAATAAGAAATGGAGTAGATAAAAATTATAGGTTACAAAGCTAGTTGTGCTGGGTTATTTTAATATAACTGAGGAAATATAGCAAAGTACTTTGCACATCTAGCAACTTTGAAAGATTGACATTTTCTAAGTCATCACATTTCATTCATGACAGCACAATTATCTGTATACCCGGTATGGTGGAGTCCTTATGACGAGTCCTGAAATAACGAGAAATCTGTTATAAAGACACCATTCTAAAACCCCGTTTTTTAACCTTCTTTATCTTTGTAAATAAATTACTGCTATTCCGCGATCAGACAAACACTCGAGTCAGTTATAGCGGAATGTTGCTGCTGCTAAGCACAGCGCATGACAGTTATACATGATAAAACCTCTCCAGTTGAGAAACTTGTTGGTGATCTTGCGAAACCAAGGACCTTTCATCAACTCCTTGAGCGAAACAAAGAATGGGAGAGCCCACGTGTGCCAACAATGAAGGCCGGAGCGAATGAGTGGGGAGGGTGTGGTATGCGAAGACAAGCAGAACGCACCAAGTGATAGGCCAGCCTAGTCTACATTATCTAGGCCTACCACTACCATGCCTCTCACTTCTCCGATGCAGGGATGGAGAGGTCACAATGCTGTGATGGATGGAGCAAATGTGTGACGAGTGCAAGTAGACGGAACGCACCATGGGGGTGTGGTGTGGTGGAGAACAACACAGCAGGCGAGTTAGCCTAGAGCCCTTTCTGTCAACATTGCAAGCGCTAGAGATAAAAACGCGATTCGATTTTTGATCAAGTAAGACCAAGAGCTCATGTTGAACAATATCATCATTGGGGAGATAATAAAAAGAAATAAACAGAACACCAAACTCATAGATTAGGCCTACTGTATTATTTCCTTTGAATTTATTACTGAGTCCCTTAAAATGAGAATCCTGGTATAACGCACATTTCGCACCAGTCCCCTCCCTCTCGTTACAACAGGATTCCACTGTACTATAATTTTGTTAAAACAGGGAGAAAGAAAATCTCTTCTTAATTCTTTTCTTTTTTCGATTCGCCTGTTACCTCTTCCTCTTTGTCATCAAGAGCTTCTTTCAGATCTTGCTCTTGCCTGCCAATGATAGCAGCATTGTGCCGCTCACGCTTGGAGATCTCTTCTAGGTAGGCCATTCTCTCTGTCTCTTCCTGAGGTGTGGTCAGCAGTTTGTGCATCAAGATGTCTCTGAGCTCATACATGCTGTTCACAATGTTTTGACCGCCTTCATCTCTGATGTGTGCCTCACTGGTGACAATTTTAGTTGCGGCTGGATTCAAGGCAAAAAGTCGCAGGATGTTCTTGCATGAATGGCTCACCTGAAAAAAGTATAAAAGAAAACCATGTGGACAGGGTAAAAAAAAAAGATAAAAATTAAGGTATTTCATAGAAAAAATAGAACAAATTGTCTTCAGCCCATGAAGAATCACACAGAGTTCCTTCATAAGAAACCAATCTTCTGAGGCCTATTTACATTGCAATTTTATTTCAAGCATTACAGAAGTGCTGAATTAAACATATTTCATGTTGACAAAAATGAAGACAAACATACATGAAGAGACACTATACAGTTTTCCTGTATTTTCACAGTTTTGTAAAAAAAAATTTGCCAAACTTTTGATCTAATAAAACTTCAATAATAAGCTTAAATACGAAAGTTTTGACTAGATTAGACCTATGTAATGCAATTAGCAGCATTGCCCTAAAATAATAACCAAATATGCTAGTTTGGCTAATTATAACTGACATAAGTGACAATTTAAGGTAAAAAAAATAGCAGTTCGTCTTTATCAAAAAGAGAATTATAATTTGCCACCTTAATAAATAATATCATTACATTTCAAAAGAGAATTGACCACGGAACATAAACATGTCACTTTCCTTTATATTCTGTCAATACTGTTAAAGGGAAAAATTTATAGGCTATTAATAAGAAATAAAATCAACACTTCACCCTGCTTGTGTGCACTTTTCTGTTGCGTTACTTGCCATGTTAATGCCTCTGAGGCTGTCCAACGTACTTTTGGTACCGTAGTCCAAAATACAGTAGTTTTATACTATCCTGCAGGTTTCTACTGCTTTATGATTGTAACAGCCAGATTTAATTAAGGACCAAGGCTTGCATCAGTCAAAACATAGACAATTTTTCAGTTAAATATTCAAACTGAGTGAAAAATCAATTTCAAAACTTCTTTTTGAATTTTCAAAGAGATATTGCTTATAAACAGACAAAAACGTTGAATTCGAAAGTAGAATAGCTTTTTCCAAATTTGTAATGGTCAAAACCGCAAAGAAATCCGATGTTTCAAGATGGACAAATTTACTGTTCAAAAATGTCTATGGCAAAAATCATACATAATTTTGCTCTCAGTATATTTGTGTTTCGCGAGTCCACTTCTATACTACATAAATTGCTTTGAAGTGTAGTCAAACCTCATTACACCGCCACCCCCGTTGTACCTCCAGCCCCGCTTACCGCCAGGTTTTGCCAATGTAAGAAAAGCAGAAAAGCAACACCTAATAAAAACATATTATTTATGTCTTTACAACGCCATCCGTCAACTGTCTGAGTTGTACCGTACTTATTAAACTAAATAAATTCCCTTCGCTGTTCCGCCAGCTAAAAATAATAATAATAATAATAAATTGCATTTATATAGCGCAATTCCACAAAGAAGTGCTCAATGCGCTGTACAATAATAAAAAAACATATGCAGTGCACAGCTCCTATAGTAATCCTCTTTCTCTATCCCTCTGTCTCTGTCTCTGCCTCTCTCTCTCTCTCTCTCTCTCTCTCTCTCTCTCTCTCTCTCTCTCTCTCCAGTACATCCTTGTGTAAAGACAATCCCACAAAACTTACCTAGACACCCCCATACACATTAATGACATCACACAGTCATAAATTGTTACAATCAGACAAGAAAGACATAAAAATAGAGAAAGGGAAGACTATTGCCTCTGAATACATGTGCATAGGTACATGTACATGACCAACAAAATTAAACTTTTCAAACAGAGGTCGCACAGCAGAATCATGTTCCTTCAACTGCCATCCCTGCTGTTCCGCCTACTTTATGCTCGTCCCACGGGTGACGATGTAACAAGTAGTCTTAACCAAGCTTGTATTAATGAATCTGAAAGACTTTAGGCACATTTTTATTTGCAAATTTGAAACTAAATGTTAAAGAATAGCATGGATAAATGCTAAATGCAGTGCAGTTTTCTTTTTATAGACAGTCTCTTTCAGGTCCCACTGTACATGGTTTTTGTATAACCTAATTTATTGCACTTAATTTTAATTTAACACCAGAACCGAAAGAGAAAGATTGTTCTGCATAAAGGTGTTTGAATGGGACTTTAAGAAATTCAAATGTACCAAATAGAAAAGTGAGCTATCTTTTTTGTATAGCCTAAAAGAAAAAAAAAACTGCAGTCTAAAACATTCTTTTTTAAACCTGCAAAAAATCCCTATGTTCTGTCTGCACAACTGTCACTTGGCAAAAGTGCCTGTAAAGGAGGACTGTCAAAATCCTTATGTAACAAGACAACAATATTGTGGTAAATATATCAAAATGTAAAGGTAACCCCCATCTCCACTTCAGGTGTTTGAACTTTCCATTTGACCCTTTAAAAAGAGTTCTGCAGAAAAGTTATGGCAGACTTCATGATGGTGCCATTCACTCCTCGGGCTAACTGCGGAGACTCCTGGTACAGAGTGCATCACTGGTAACTGCATTGCAGTAGCCATGGTACTTCAATCTTTGATAAAAACTACTGTAACATATTTGTTTTCTTTACATTAATAGACCAATAGCACAAGGGATCAAATTATGCTCACTTTGTACAAGATCGAAGAAAAAAATGTAATAAAAAAGATTAATGCATATAATTGTTACTGAGCATCTCGTCAGCCGTGTCTCTGTGCCAATGGTATGGTGGATGATTCAGGGCGTCATGAACATAGCCTGCAAACTGTTATATAATATGTAAAATATTTGTTCAGTAAGTGTATAATATGTGCTTTAATAATCTTATAATTAAATGGGCAAGCAATTTTTTGTTTTTATACCTAGATCTAGATAAAGGACCCACTAGGCATGCATGATAATGTTTGAATTGTCTACATCAACTGCATGTAAAAAAAATATATCATCTGCATATCAAAAAGTCACCTGTTGTGCAACAAGTCCTAGGTTCCTCATGACCTCCTCTATCCTGGGGTCAATGTCAGAATAAGAAGACTTGGGACGATCACCCATCATTTGCTCAATGTTGTCTGAGACATTTTCTTTGGATGAACCTTGCAAAATCTCAGTGGATCCTTGTTCATTCACAGGAGATGAGGCCTTTTGACCAGAACTGGCTTCTGACTTGGAAATGCTCTCTGCTTCATTTTGACCATCATCTTCCTGTTCTTTTTCAAATCTGTCTTCTTCTTCACCATCTCCTACCTCTCCCCCATCTTCACCAAACTGATCCTCCAGTCCTTCTCCCTCTTCATCCCCAGCTTCTCCGGGTTTTAAAGAAGAGGCCCGGGAAGCTGCTTGGGCCAGCTGTCTTTCTCTCCTCTGCAGCAGTTCATCAAGTTGGGCCCTTATGTCCCTGTAGGTAAACTGTATCCTACTGTGCTGCTTTATAGCATCAACTAGTTCAGTTCCCAGAGATACTTTGAACCTGTCAATGTTCTCCAAAATGTATGGCAATGCAGTCACTATTTCAGCTCTTTTGATTGATTCTTCGAATACTGCCATAATTCTTTGTGACTCTATTGTTGTGAGTTTCTTTCGTGCTGGCTCTAAAGCTCTTGAAGGATCTAATTTGAGGTGCCTCAACCGAAGGGTATTGGTTCCCCTAGCCTGAGGAGGCGGTTGAGGGGCCATCTTCATGTGGTAGGTTGGCTCAACAGCCACCGTCTCCGTTATCGTGTGAGAAGCCATGCTATTTACAGCAGAAGATAGTCTACTCGGCTTCGTTAAGTTAAAAAAAAGAATATAAAACTGATTAAAAGTTTGTCACTGAAAATCAAACATCAGTTCAGTTCAACACATTTCTATGGGAGAAACCGATTTCACTGTAATAAAACAACACAGTTCACTGATTCAGCCATAAGCCTCCATGTTGGTCAAATAACCGTTAGTATACATTCAAAATATTACACTAACAACAAAGAGTTCGTTAATCATACTTTTATTTCGTTTTACTGTTTAGCTTTTGTTATTGTTATTCTTTCATTTATTATAAATGTATACTATATTTTAAAAATTAGCTTAAATACAATGATATTTCAAAGGGGATAGTATATAATAATGTTAAAACGGGACATCTTTCCGCGATTTTGTTGTGAAGGGAACTATGCGGAAATGCCCTTTACACTTTAACCTTTGACATGATTTGTTTTCAAGTTTCAAGATGGATGGGACCAGGGGGGACGGTCCCCTCCTGGAAGAGTTGTCGTTGTCCAGATCCGGAACCATCAGTAAGTAACAAAAAATGAAGGGTTATCTGGCGAATCCTTTGTTCCCTTGATATTTTATCATCTTTGGTGCTTACTTTAAACTGAATCCTGTCTATATTATTGTTTGAGTCATGTGAACATTTCGATATTCTATCGTACAACTTGTACACTACAATTACAACAGTAGTAGCCCACAGTACAGCCTACTGCCTAAGTTTTACTGTGATCTAAAATTAAATGTAAGGATCAAACCAAGGCCAAGGAATCAGTGTTGCACGTAGATTTGAACCAGGGCCAGTCTTCAGTCAGTGAAGAGGAGAGGTTTTCGGATTGAAATTGTCATCAATTTTCAAATTTAAAGTCTGGTCTTTAACAGAGAAATTTGCGAAATTTCGTACACACATGGTCTGCCCTCATCACTGACGACTGACAGTCAGTGCAAAGAGTTTGATTTAGCAATAAATTTGTATCCTTTTTTTGTGTCTAATAGTGTTTTTACGGCGCTCGCAACTGAGGTCATATAGACTAGATCTAGATCTATATATATGAGCGCGCAGGACACTTTCATACATTTTCAGTTGGCAAGAAATAATTTTGAATTTTGCGCGGGTGGCTGCCGAAGCCTACATCTATCAGTTTTGTTCCACCCAGGGATCTTTATCGTTCGCTACTTTCGCACGAGACCTCCATGAATTTTCACTGTTATCCGAGAAGGCTAGTGTTAGCTTACTTACCATAAGGCCATAAGATCAGGGGTGTCGCTCATTCTGAAAGACAGCTGTAAGGAACCATTATTAAGGAGTAGCAATAGAAAGGCTTCAGAAGGAAGAAGCCCAGGGGGGGGGGGGGGGGAAGAAAGTGGAGGCAATAGCAGATGAGCGGAAAAGGAGGTGAAAGGAGACAAATAGAGAAGAAAAATTTCCGTCCCTATCCAAATTCGAATCCTGGACCTACTGAATGAGATTGTGAACACCTTAACCTCTAGGCCACGAGAGCCCCCTCTGTGTAGTCGTAACCTTTGAGTGAGTAATTCTGAATGGAGTCATAGTATGCACTACACAACACCCCAACTCGTGGACAGGGCAATTGAATAATTATAATTAGTCTTTATATATATATATATATATATATATATATATATATATAACTTATTAAGAAGCTTACAGTAATCTTTGAAATTGTGTGTACGGTACTCCCTTCAGACCCAATAATAGTTTGAAAATTTAGCCAAAGGTAGGATCCATAATAGTAGTATATATAATAGCCTCTAGTATAAATTATAGGCTATAAGGGAGGAATTCTGTAACGAGTGCAGTGGCGGTGGGTGGACCAAAATATGGGTGGGGCTTAGGTTGCTGCCACTTCTTTACCACCAAATAACAAGCAATAAGAACTAAACAGTGATGATTTTTCTATACTCCCGGTGAGCCACGGCAGTTTGAGAATCATTCAAACGAGAAGAGTTGCCTTTGTTTTCCATCTCTTTGTCCTTAGTTAAATTCTTGTTGATGGTGGGGACGAAGCCGATTCACCTCCAAATTTCATCTAATTAGTTTTTGTGTGATGAAAAAGTTGCCTTAAAAGTAGTTAGACCTGATTTATAACTGTTAAATCTCAGCGGCACATACACAAACATGCACTCACAGCACTTCAAACATAATACTTCTATGAGAGCTGGATTAGGCCATGTAGTTGAGAAAGTTGAACGCACCCAACAAAGAACCAAAGAACGCAATGGTATCTGTGTCAGTGGGGGAAAGTGTGTCGTAAACTTTCACCCCATTGTCAGGGCTAGGCGAGTGTGAGCCCTCGGTACAGTGTTATTTTTTCCCAGTCTTCTACCTTTTTACAAGAAGAGTTTCATTAAGGACTGGCTGTGGGAAAAGGGCTCATCTTCGCTGAGCCCTAAAGATATTTGATTGGCTGCTGGGCTACTATAGTTGTAAGCGGTGACAACAGTGATTGGATAAGCGAGCAAGCCGCCAAGTTGATCACTCTGTGTTCTTTGCGTGCGGTCATAAAATGGTTTCAACTGCTTATTTCATTATGGAGAAAATTTCATTTACTTTGGGATAGAGATGGGGGTGGTGGGTAGGGGATCAAGCCTGTGAGCCCTGCACTACCGACCGCCACTGAACGAGTATATGGAATCTAGATAGAGCATTGGGGTTCGGGTTAGTATTAGTAGGGTTAGGGTCAGGGATAGGGTAAGAAGTAATTCTGTTTTGTGTTTTGGGGCGGTCGCTGGTTACAGAAGTCCTTCCATGGTACATGGCTGCCACTTTCCTGCTAAATAGCGGAAACTCCGCTTCATCTAGCTTTTCCCGCTACTTTCCTCCTTCCTCTGCTGGACCGCTCTCGGTTGCAAATTGTGATACTTTTTTACACGCGGAAAACACTGAACCGGGAAAGAGACGAAAACGCAGCTTGCGCATGTCCGCCGGTAGCTTTCTACTTCCGTTCTTCTAGGCCTAGCGTTAGTTTCACTTTGTTTATTGTGGAGCAACAAAATGTCGGTCGATCTGGCATCGGGACGTTAGCGCACTGAGTTGTCATTGAAAACAGCGGAAATTCGAGAGAAATTAATGCACAATGCAAAAATAAAAGGAGCTCCGCTTGCTGCACTTTGCGTTTGGTGCGATAAAGAAATCGTGGCCCGCAGCTCTCCTGTACAATAGCGGTCCTGTTTGTTTACATGACGGCTATTGTGGCTGTTGAAGTGAATCTAGATCTAGATAATCTATCTCTAGATATAATCTAGATTTACACATATTTAGATATCTCTAGATTCTAGATCTAGATTAGATAGCCTAGGCTATAATTTTAATTCAGGTTAGATCTACACTCTACAGAGGGACTACTAAGTTAAGTGCAAACGGGACCGCAATTGTACAGGAAGGAGTGCTCAGTACAGCGGCAAAGGTGTTGCCTCCTTGATCCAATTCTGCGCGCGCTCTACATCGATGTACAACTTTAAAGTGAAAGAAATCTTTTTATAAGACACCAGCTTGCAACAAACACTGGATTTTTAGTCACCAAGTCCAAACTGTGTCAAATTGACTCAAATGCTTGGTAGTCTACTTTAATGCCTTTGTTGGGTTTTTTTTTTTTTTTTTATCAAATACGTTTTAATCCAGTTGCCTATGGTTAACATATATGACAGTTTTCCCTTCCAAAACCATAGGCTAGATTTTCCGGTATATATTGCCTCTGGATCTCACTGGTTTTACTCCGGCCTTCGGAGAGCGCGCGTCCGCCTTCACATGAATTTCCTCCTTTTTTGAAATTCCTGAGTGGCAGCTATGATGGTATAGAATATTTTACATATATATGTGGAATTTTAATGGAGCTACACACCAAATTTTGTAAACCACAAGTTTAGAGGGAGGTTTACAAAATTCAGAGTAGCTCCATACTATGTTACAAGATTATGTCATAGTAAGAAAACATGATGACAGATGACTCGTCTAAAGGTAATCTATAAAATCAAAGGTGCCTTGAGGAATTGAATATAATATAAAGGACTACGGCTATTTGGACTCGAGTCTGCAACAAGGGGAAAGCTTTTAATGCTGCATGCTACCACGAAGAGTATGGACAACTTCAGTTTCTGTCACTGGTCTGTTAAATCTTCACATTTCACATTGAATTAAAGCGTCTTTGCATTCTCTTAATGTGCTGGAGAGTTTACAATTGTTTCCTTCTTTTTCTCTTTTAGAATTGCCATTATGAGTTTGTGCTGTTGACAGTTTCAGTTTTGGATATTTTTATTTTTCTTGGTGTTTTGATAGTTTGCTTAGTAAATTATATCAGTTGTTTTATCAAATTTTGTTGTATTTCAAAAGGATAGTTGGCCTCAGTACATCTCAAAATAAAAGTGCCATCCTCTTCATAACTGGAGGACAAGTGAAAGGTGCTCGTATTGAGTTTCATCAGTAACGTTCAAATCAAGGACATCTGCTTCCAAGTTCAAGGATAGTTATACTGCCAACTTGTAAATGGTCATTAAATGTCCCATTGTAATATCCATTTCATTGATACACATGTGCTACAGTTTTCTAGTGCAAGGTGTGGAAAGTAGAACGAAAAGAACTCATTTATGGACAATCTTCTCCTTCAAGGGACAGCTAGGAATAATGTGTGTACAATTGAAAAAAAGCAAAAAAAACCCCAGTCATATTTTTACCTATTTATTGATTATAATATAATGTTAGTGCAGCACCCACTTCAAAAGTAATGATTACTCTGTACATGACTAAACAGAGGGAATGGTTCAGTGGTCATTCACACATGCTGCCGCGGGTGACTTTTTATCAGTTTTATGTCCTTGCTTCAGTTTTTATTTAGCAGAAAGGATGAGGGGGAGGGTGGGGAATGAGTTGTATAATTTGTATGTTTGTCAAATGTTGTTTATAGCATGTAACCCAATATCCTTGTTTGATAGATGTTAATGTAATGGAGGAGCATCGTCCAATACCTTTTGAAGAAGTACTCTGCTGTAGGAATATTTTTTTAGTTCTTTGGTGACATATTTTTAGTTTGGTAACCTTAATTATGAACTTTCAGTTGGGATTTGGGGAGCAGGTTGACAATGGCAGCTAGAAGAGTGTTAATTGCTTTCTGATGGAATTGTCTTTTTTTTGGTCTTTTTTTTTTTTTACACATAGATCTATATTGAGTTTGAGTATTTGTCATTTTTAAAAAACAGAAAAAACCCAAATGCTTTTACAGAAATGGAGCTTTGAAATCTTATTAAATCTTTTTAGTAGAAATTTTATTTCTTGAAATTTGAAATTTAATAAACACATCCCAGTTTTATTGCTCTTTTTATCTCCAGAACTGAACACATGATATTCTTGTAACCTAAAGTGGCCTCCATTTTTTATTTTTTTTAAAGAAAGAGTGTAAATCACATATTAAGGCCAGACATATAATATCTAAACTAGATCAACCTTAAGGGAAAAAACGAACTCAGTATATGTATGTGCTTAAAGTTTTAATGGAGGAATCAGTTTAACTTT